CTTTAGAGAGTATGTAAATATCCAAAATGGACAGGCACACAGCCAAGAATTTGAAGGGTACTGCTGTTTTTTTAACCACAATGAATTCAAAACCAGATTGATGATTTGAGGCCCCCAAAAAACAAAAGATAGACCGAGTTTAATAACAAGAACACCATACCAGTAAAATCACACAAACGGGGTCGGGGGATGGGAGTATGCATACCTTACTGCATGAAATTTTCACACCTCTTTGATCAACCTTGACTAGCTAATCTCAACCTTAGAATGCGCAGACTACGAACAAACAACAGAGGGTTAGATTGATACACACATCAAAGATATGAAATTTAGTGTATCCATCAACCATGCACGAGAGATATCGGATTTGGTGTATCCATCAATCATGCAAGGGAGATATCAAATGCAGTGTATCCATCAATAATTGGGGAAAAAGTTTGAAATTTGGGAAAATGTAACAAACCTAATTTTTTTCGTAGCGTATCACTCAATCCAGTAAAACAAGAAAGTTCAACTCACTAATATGATGATCAAGTTCATGATTGGTTTAGTTTAAATCCATGAGAGAGTGCAATTATAGAAATTAAGAAACGATCTTAGTGACTCACAAGTACTGTAACAATGTGCGAAGAAGATAAGAGACCATAACAGCATTTTACATCTATGGGAATCAGAGAGCCTAGTGATGCAAAACACCCAGTAATTGAGTATCCATTGAAATAGCAACCTGTTAATCAATCAAAGGAAGTTAAATCTCAAAAAGGTTGTATAACAAATATCTTTGTTTAAATTTTTTTTCTTTGGAATTATTAATGTTTTCGGTACCTGATTTATTGGGTACTATGCGTCCAGCGGTCCTGTCCAGCAAGAGTACCTGCAATAGGGAAGCGTTAATGGTGTTGTGGAGTATTTCGTGTTTTTTTTGTGTTTCTTAAATTGTTTAAAATGGTGAATGTGCATTTTGTTACCGTTTGTGTTGTAGGATTTCTTTGTATTCTATGTTGTCTGTTGTTGAAGTAAATCTGTCTTGCTGCTCATACAATTTGATAGTATTTAGAACCACAACAAAAAACAAGATGGTAAAACGCAATTGCCTTAACTCAAAACGCGACCTAGAGTCTGACCTAAAAATTAAAATCCAACGGATTGTACCCGCAAACCTAACGCAAATTTGATTGTCAAACACTAAAGTTAAAAGTCAACCTAGAACCTAACCCAAAACCAAACCCAAAATCAGGTCCAATCCCCAGAGTAAGAAACAAAATCCCTACCCAGAACCTAACCCAACAACCAATTGCCGGGGTGCATTAAGTTATTCCCATGTTTAAAAATTGTGAATAAGTACAAAAGGAATGAATATGAAATTAACAGGCTTTAAGAATGAAGACCAACCATTGTCTGTGGCGTTTGACATGGTAAATATAGCCGGTTTAGTGGAATCTGAATGTCACATGGCCTTAAGCACCTATTTGTAATAGTGTGGTTTTGATTAGAGTGCAGCAGTTCATATTAAGCCAATTCTTTTTTGGGAGATATCCGACAAAAAGAGGAAAACCAATACCGGTACATGGTGAAATTTCCATTTTGTTGATCGGTGGAGGCGTTGAAATTTCCATTTTGTTGAAAGTACAGCCAAGCTCCAGCCAATAAAGAAGACTCGGCATGAACCCTGTCATCAAATAGGACATGAAAGAGGTTAATAAATAGGAAAATCTCTTACCAAGGTGAATATTGTCAAATTGACTCTCCAGCCAAGTATATATGTAATATTTTTTGTTATTGTGTTGTGTTTAAATTTTAACGTGGTGGAACTCATCTACTAAAAAATAAATTTTCTACTACGTTTCTTGACCTTTTGGCTAAAATCATCAAAAAGGTCTAAGGGATCCTAGTGAGACTGTTCCACAATTAAATGTTTTAGTCTACAAATACATTATATATTTTTTTTTTTATGAAAGGGGGTATTTTATTGCAATCTTAAATAGGGTACAAGCATATCAAGGCTTATGGTTGCCTTGACTTTCTTAGGGAGACATGCTAAGGTATTGAAAGGTGTACATTTAAAGCTTTGCGTTCCCAGTTTAGCTAGAAATCGGCCGCGTTGTTGGCCTCCCGAAGGGTGTGGGAGAGCCTGAGGTTGAGTTGCTGGGTCTTATCCTTGATGAATTTGATGGCGTTGGATGATGGGGCTTCCATAAGGAGCTTAATGAGATCCATGCAGTCAGTTTCGACGGTGAGGGCTGACATGTTGTAGTAGTTGATGGCAGTCAACATGGCTAGGGTTTCTGTTGAGAGTGATGTCCCTTTGGGTAGAGGGAACGAGATTGCATGTATGAACTTGCCATTGTGATCACGGAGAACTGCGCCTCCACCACAACCATTAATGCTAGAGCTTCCATCCACGTTCAGCTTGTATGAATAAGGATCCGGAGGTATCCAGCGAATGAGTCTATGGATTTTGCCCCTACCTCCGCGGTTAGCATGTACAGGAGTGCCTTTGTGAGCTAGCGACCAGTCATTGAGGGAAAGTTTGATGTGTTCAAGTGTTTTGTCCTCATTAAAGGAGCTCTCGGTCCACTTGATTTTGTTGTAAGCTTTCCAAAGCTCCCAGGTAATAATGGTGGGGAGAATGCGTTTGAGGTTAAAGAGGGGGTCAGAGGGGGAAGAAGACAGCAGCCACATGATCAAGTTGTGATTGAGGGAGGAGTTTGTTATGGTAGGGAGGTCCAAGGTAGAGCCTAGGTAATTCCAGATCCTGCTTGCTTTAGGGCAGAGCATAAGACAGTGAAGGTCGGATTCTTCAGCTTGTCCACAAAAGAGGCATGATGATGGTAGGTTGTATCCAAGCTTCCGTAGGTTGTTGGGGAATGGGGTGGCGTGGTTTGTGACTTTCCAGAGGAAGAGGTTAGCCATGGGGATTCCCTTTTTAGGCCATGGGATTTGGGCAGTGAGGAGAGATGGGCTAGGCTCCTGGAGGATGTGAGAAACCTCCTTGATGGAATAGGAGCCAAGTTTTCCAAGGTTCCTAAACAGGCTGCCATCTTTGAGTTCAGAGTTAGCTTCGCCGAAGGCATTGGCATGGCAGATTCTTTTCCATGTAGGGCTGTCAATAATGTTAGAAGTGAATGCTCCTTGTCGGTGGTAATTCTGCTTGGTGAAGGAAGACCACAAGGAAGGCTTGAAGTGATACTTCCACCAAAGCTTGATTCCAAAGGATTGCTGGAGGATGTGGATGTTTTGAATGCCCAGGCCCCCATGCTCTTGGGGTTTGCAGAGATCTTTCCATGCAACCCATGCATGTTTGCGATCTCCACCGGTTCCCCCCAGAAGAAATGGGCGAGTTTCCTATCAATGCTGTGGATGACTTTATCTGGGAGTTTTGAGGTGGAGAGGACGTGAAGGGGGATAGAAGAGAGTACATGTTTGATGAGTGTGAGTTTCCCGGCCTGAGAAAGTGTGTGCATCTTCCAGCTTGATAATTTGTCATCAAACTTCTTGAGGAGGTCGTGGCAGTAGCTTGCCCTGTTGATGCCCTTGTAGAGTGGAACACCAAGGTATGTGATGGGAGGTTTAGCAAGTTGCATCCCAAGGCAGTTTTTTTGGCGCTTAGCTTCGTTTGATTGTGGTTTGGGTGAGATTAGCTGGCTCTTTTCGAGGTTGAGTTGGAGGCCTGTGGCTAACTCAAACTGGGATAGGAAGAGTTTTATTTTTTTGAGGTTGGGGAGGGATCCATTGGTAAAGATTAGTACATCGTCAGCAAAAGTAAGGTGGTTCACCGTGTTAACCCTTCCAGTGTTAAATCTGCTGAGCTGCCCGAGTGCATACAAATTGTTGAGAGACCTGGTAAATCCTTCCATGGCGATGATGAAAATGTAGGGAGATTGTGGATCACCTTGACGAACTCCTCTCTTGGGGTTGAAGTATGTAGATGTGTTACCATTAATGAGGATTGAGACCAGGCCGTGATGGATGGAGTTCATCACCAGGGTGATGAACCTAGAGGAGAAGCCGAACCTGCTAAAGCATTGTTCAATGTAAGCCCAGGAAATTTTGTCGAACGCCTTGGAGTTGTCAAGTTTTAAAGCGAGATTGCCTCCTGTTGTTTTGCGATCCAGGATATGGAAGAATTCTCTGGCCAGTAGGATATGATCAGAGATGTCGGTTCCGGGAATGAAACCCCCTTGCTCCTCGGAGATGATGTCAGGCAGAAGATTTGTGAGCCTGGACACCAATATTCTGCTAATGATTTTGGAGGAAAAGTTCGTGAGACTGATGGGCCTGTAATCAGCAAATGACTCGGCGATGTCCTTTTTAGGAATCAGGACAATGTTGGCTTTTCTCATGTCTTTGGGGGGGATGATACTAAGAAAGAATTCTTGGGCTGCACTTGTTACATCCTCGTGAATAATGTCCCGGGTTTCACGGTAGAAAGTCCCATTGTATCCATCTGGACCCGCGCAACTGTTAGGATCCAAGTGCCAGACCGCGCTATTGATTTCTTCAGAGGTTGGGAGGGAGCACAATTTGTCATTTTGGATGTCCTTGACGATTTTGGGAATGTTCTGAAGGATGGGCTCCATGTCTCCTGGAGAGTCTGCTGAGTAGAGATCTGTGAAGAAGTCCACTCCCGCTTGGGAAATATCTTGGAAGCTGGTGACGAAAGTACCTTGTTTGTTTTTGATGGAGTGGATGTGTTGCTTGCGCCACCTCGCCCTGCAAGCTGCATGAAAAAAAGAGGTGTTAGCGTCGCCCTGTGCTATCCATTTAGCGTTGGCTTTTTGTTTCCACTAAGCTTCCTCTATGTGGATGCATTTTAATAAGTGAGCTCTCGATTCACTCCAAGTGGAGCGTGTGCTATCGTTGGCGTTGGCGTCATACTCATCTTCTTTTTTAGTGCAATCCTCCTCCGCCGTTTTGACGATGTTAAGGAAGTTTCCAAAGGTAGTTTTGCTCCATGCCGTGAGAATTTTTTGACATGTTTTTAGTTTAACATATAGGCCGTGCATGCCTCTTCCAGTGGGAATGGATTCCCAAGCTGTTTGGAAGGTGGTTCTGAAGGTGTGATGGGAGGTCCAAAGGTTGAGGAACCGGAATGGCCTTGGCTTGGAAGGGGGTTGAAGGGAAGCTTGAAGCAGGAGGGGGCAATGGTCAGAGGTGGTTTTGTTTAGGACAGAGTAGTGAATAAAGGGGAAAACCTTGTCTGCTTCTTGGTTGAGTAGGAAACGGTCCAAAGTTCTAGAGACCGTGCCATTAGATCTGTTCCCTTTCCAGGTAAAAAGGGCGCCAATGTGTTGAGGCTGAAACAGGTTGCAGTCCTTGATGCACAAATTAAAATCTTCCATACTTTTGACGCATGGCAGTTTCTTTCCCCTGTGTTCTTCCGGATTGGTGATAGTGTTGAAGTCCCCCCCAATAATCCATGAACAAGTGGTGATTGAAGAGTGACTCCTAAGGGAGTTCCATAAGGAGAGCCGTGCATCTTTGGAGTGGAGGCCGTAAACAACTGAGAGCCAGAATTCAGTTTTGGTGGAGTTATGATAAAAGAGGCAGTGCAGGACTTGGTCACCCTCTTGATGCTGATGGAGTGTGAAAGTGTCTGAGTCCCAGAGTATCCAAGCCTTGTTGGACAGTCCATGCAGGCCTTTGTTGAGGCCCAGTTGAAAGGAAAGGGAAGAAGATTGGGATGAGAAAACCATAGGCTCAAGAATGCCCATGAGTTTGATCTTGTGGTGAAGAGAAAGTTGATGTAGCCTTTTCAGGGGGGAGGAAATTCCCCTAGCATTCCAGATGAGGAGATTCATGGGAGAGGGTGGGAAAGGGGAGGTAGAGATAGAGATGCCTTTGCTCTTTGTCGTGTGACCATGTTGGATCTTGGGGGTAGATGTGAGTGTTTCTTTTTGCGTGAGGTTTTGGCTGCTGAAAGGGGGTGAAATCAATGATGGGGTCATCTTGGGGTATTGGAGGAATTTTTGGGGCTATTGACTTGCTAAAGTTTTCCAAGTCATTGATGGATGTGGTTGCAAGTTTTCTTTTTGTTTTGGGGCAGCACTCGGAGTCAGAATGGTGAGCATAGTCCACAAATGTTTTTGGGTCAACAAGGTTGAGATCACATCTTGGTTAAGGTGGGTGTATGGCTGAACTGGGCTTAGGTGTTGGGGGAATGTTTTGGAGAAGCTGAGAGTCTAAGGTTGTATGGGCCTGATTTTGTGAAATTGGATCAGCAAATTGAGGGGCCTGAGGGGTGGTTTTTCCTATTGGGGTGGGTGTATGGATTGGAGTGGGTTCTGGTGTGCACATGGATGGGTTGGGGGAGTGGGGAGGGATTGTTGGGACGACAGAAGTTGAGGGGATGGGGACCTGATCTCCAGTGGTGGGTGTTGGGGATGTGAGGGGGTTGGGAAGGGTTGTTTGGAGTGGCTTGTTTGGTTTGGAAGAAGTGGGGGCCGTACCTTCATCAACTGGGGGATTGGCAGGAGGAGCTGGCTGGAGGCTTGGCTGCTTCTGCATGGAAGCATCTTTGGGAGGATCTCCCTTGGTTTTGGTGCAATTTCCGGTGGAGTGGCCGGATTTCATACAATCCTTGCAGAATGAAGGGAGTTGCTAGCAGTGGACGGATTGCCATAGCCCTTTTCCTCCATTGTCCAGGAAAAACTTGGTGGGAAGCTCTTCAGAGACATCCAGTTCAACGCAGAATCTTGCCGTCGAAGGCCTGCTCCTTGCCGAGGTTGCTGCGTCAAGCATGAGCGGGTTTCCAAAGATTTTGGCGATGGCTAGCAAAGCCTTAGGATCGTGAAGGTGGACCGGGAGATGTTCAAGGGAGATCCAGACTGGGAAGACGGGGCTCTCCTCGTCACAGTGGAAGTTAGGGCTCCATTTAGAGACTTCCATTGGGCATCCTTCAATCTGCCAAAGCCGTTTCATGAAGCACCTTTGGTAGTCTTCTGCGTTGCTGAAGGTGATCAGAATATGTGAGGACGCAAGGACCCCCACGGTGTAGCCATGCCTGAAGCCAATTCTTTCCAGCACTTGCTTGATGACTGGGAGAGGGGGCGTGATTTTGGGAATCTGCCAACAAGGGAAAACTCAAAGGGAGAGGAAAGGCTTTTGACTTCCGCAGCTGTGAAGGAGATTGCCGGATATCCTTTGTGCCTGGTGATGGGCTTGGAGATGATGGATGAGTGAGGAGTAGAAGAGGAAGACCCAATGATTTTGACGTCGTGCATGGGGGGTATGACGGAGTAGGCAGTAGGCAGAGGTGCCATTTTAGAGGAGGAGGGCCGTGGTTTGAGGTTGTGATGGCTTGTTGACGGCAGTGGTTGTCCAGCCAGATGTGAGGCAGGGGGGCTGGGTTGACGGCCGGCGTAGGAGGCGGCAGTTAACGGCGGAGGGGGAGGAGCGAAGGGAGGGGGAAGAGAGAGAGACATGATTTTTTTATAAACATTATATATATATATATATATATATATATATATATATATATATATTATGTTTTTGTTCTTGGGTGATTGATTTGTTTTGTTCAAAGTTTCACATGGGGCGGATGTGAGCGATGAAGGTAGTGGTTATATAACAGCATCGAGAAGCTCGAGCCTAAATATTCGTCTTAGATTGTATTTCAATTGTTTGGAGCTTCAAATTATATAGATCTAAGAGGTAAAATTATTTCATAATGTAAAATAAAATAATATAATAGATATAGTACTCTTTTTTTTTGATATTTTAATTTTACTTATAGAAAAATGCAAGTGTTAATATGAACTTAAAATTTGTNTCTCTACTTGAACCCGCATTGACCCGAACATGAAGTAGTCCGAACCCGAAGTAACCTGAAATTTTTTAAAAATGAAGTCACAAGTTGTTGGGCCAACCCAGAGTCCCAGACCCAATTATAAGAGGAGGCTGTGGTGTTAATATTCCGTACCTTACGTCTTATTCAAGTGAATATGATGATCTTGCAAATATGTAACCTGTTTTCCTCTACGACAAGTCAAACAAAGCTAATACTTGGAAGATTTTTCGACTAAACAAACCATTTGAACACAACACCAATGGCAAATCTTCAAAGAAAAAGTGTACTTTTAATATTTTAAAAAAATCAGACTTTGAACTGTTTGCTAATGGTTCACTCAAAGTGCTGGTTCAGCAATGAAAAGTGCATATCTACTCCCTCATTTCATCATCCTCTCCCTCTACTGCGCTGCCTCTTGCCGAATCCCGCCACAACAGAACAAGTGTGGTAATTTCACTCTGCCACAAACCCTACTAACTTACATAATGTGTTTGAGAGTTAATAGGCATACTTCCAAGTAGGGGTGAGTTTTGGATACATATCACCCTCTCCAAACCCTACTTTCACGGGGTTTTACTGGGATTGTCGTTCTTTTTTATGGCAGGGGGCATTCAAGTTTGGGTGCAATGAGATATTGAAAGTACTTACGTGCAGCGGATTATCAGAGGTTGAGGTTTCAATGCCTTTGGTCCATTTCGTATCCCCCCTCTTGTGACGAGTAACCTGTGATTCATTGGCAATAGCTTTGGAGTAACTCTTGTGACGAGTAACCTGCTTTAGCAATTTGAAAAGGTTATGTAATGGTACTTTCAGCGTGTTCAAAATTAATTGTCATGTTAAGGAAGTTGTCAGAGGATGAACCTTCTTTTTAGGGACGGCCATTAGTTCCATAGACCCATTGAAGAAAGTGATATCTTGGAATCTGTAAGCAATGTTCCCTTCAATCCTTTCCTGATTTGCAGACTGGGCCTTTATTGGCGCTATGGGATTGCCGAAGATGATGTTGTCCATTGGAATTGGTTGTGCAATGGCGTGAGCAAAGTTATGGAAGCCAAACGTGGGTCCTACGTTTTTTCCGTTGTCCCAGCAGCTCCATAGTGTGGCTACCCTGAAAGCCATATCCCTACAGCTTGCACTTCAAGTCCACACTCTCTGCAAATAGGATGAACATCATTCGAGGCCCCAAAAAACAAAAGATAGACCGAGTTTAATAACAAGAACACCATACCAGTAAAATCACACAAACGGGGTCGGGGGATGGGAGTATGCATACCTTACTGCATGAACTTTTCACACCTCTTTGATCAACCTTGCCTAGCTAATCTCAACCTTAGAATGCGCAGACTACGAACAAACAACAGAGGGTTAGATTGATACACACATCAAAGATATGAAATTTAGTGTATCCATCAACCATGCACGAGAGATATCGGATTTGGTGTATCCATCAATCATGCAAGGGAGATATCAAATGCAGTGTATCCATCAATAATTGGGGAAAATGTTTGAAATTTGGGAAAAAGTAACAAACCTAATTTTTTTCGTAGCGTATCACTCAATCCAGTAAAACAAGAAAGTTCAACTCACTAATATGATGATCAAGTTCATGATTGGTTTAGTTTAAATCCATGAGAGAGTGCAATTATAGAAATTAAGAAACGATCTTAGTGACTCACGAGTACTGTAACAATGTGCGAAGAAGATCAGAGACCATAACAGCATTTTACATCTATGGGAATCAGAGAGCCTAGTAATGCAAAACACCCAGTAATTAAGTATCCATTGAAATAGCAACCTGTTAATCAATCAAAGGAAGTTAAACCTCAAAAAGGTTGCATAACAAATATCTTTGTTCTATTGTTTATTTGTTTAAATTTTTTTTCTTTGGAATTATTAACGTTTTCGGTACCTGATTTATTGGGTACTATGCGTCCAGTGGTCCTGTCCAGCAAGAGTACCTGCAATAGGGAAGCGTTAATGGTGTTGTGGAGTATTTCGTGTTTTTTTTGTGTTTCTTAAATTGTTTAAAATGGTGAATGTGCATTTTGTTACCGTTTGTGTTGTAGGATTTCGTTGTATACTATGTTGTCTGTTGTTGAAGTAAATCTGTCGTGCTCCTCATACAATTTGATAGTATTTAGAACCACAACAAAAAACAAGACAGTAAAACGCAATTGCCTTAACTCAAAACACGACCTAGAGTCTGACCTAAAAATTAAAATCCAACGGATTGTACCCGCAAACCTAACGCAAATTTGATTGTCAAACACTAAAGTTAAAAGACAACCTAGAACCTAATCGATGACCAAACCCAAAATCAAAGTAGAAATGTACACCTTCAATGTCGATTCTTTTACCCGTATCGGACATTTGATTGCAAAACCAGTGTCATGGCTTGCACTGGTAAACACAAAATCAGTGTTGTGACCCCGTGCAGGCAGTCCAGATTTTAAGATCGGGACACCATGTTCATCATCATCGTGAACATCATCAATCAGAAATTATGACCAATCGTGGCAAACTAACTGATATCCAGACTGTAATAAACAGAGGGGTCATACATATATATTGTTAATAAAAGAAGTTGCAACATTTATTAATAGAGTACCTTTATAGCCGGGTAACTCTCCGACATATTCCGACTGAGCTAGAGAAAACCAAGTTAGCTGTCATGTCACATGACATGTTAGTCTTGCAATTAGAAAACTCTCTTTATATATATCAACACACGCACGCACAGTTTTATACTCGTAAGTTTTTCTGTGAAGCTACATATAGCACTGAGAACAACAACTTACCTCCATAACAATATGTTGATGATGGGTGTTCATTAAACGTGCTAGGAACTGGGGAATGAAACAGAACCGGTAGGAGTATAATTCACAGTAGTTCTTTGTATGTGTGTTTGATGGGGTGAAGGTAAATATACGGATTTCAGAATTGCCAGCAAACGAAATTTAGATTAAAACACCGCTTATCGTGTTTTAAGATAGAAAAAACTTTGGAAATTCAAGAGGATGTGGGGGAAGTGAAAAACATTCTAAATTTAAGTACATCCTTTACATTTTGAGTTGTTCCAAAATCATCTTCACATGGACAAATTTATCAACCATGAAGGGGAACAACATTTATGCATGTATAAAATTAATCTTATGTAACTCATACTCTAATAATAACCTAGTGTATGTCCGTAAATAAAAAGGATGACATTTCACCGTATTGTCTGGTATAACTCCACAAGTATTTTTGGCCCTAGTTTTATAATAGATATAAATCCTGTAAACAGAAGATCCTCTAATGAACTTTGAATGTTTATAGCTAAAACTAAGAAACACTTCTTTCCACTTGGAGGATCTTCTGTTACACGATTTATGTCAAGCTTGATGTGTACATATCTAATACAAAAGACATGTCATATGTCATAAATAGTTTAGAAACCTATAAACAAAATGAAAACCGAAAATGAAAAAAAGTACACGAATGCTCAAAATCAACACTAAATACACCCAAACAAAGTGATCAAAATCAGGGGTTTCAAAAATCAAAATAATCTTATTATGTGAAGCTTTTGATAAACTTATTCCCAAAGTGGAAAGTTTCCCGTTAATAAAAACATAAATTTATTAACAAAGCTTTGAAACCATAAAACATTTTTCTAGGACACAATATGGAATCTAAAATCTCCCATACTAAGCAACTTTTTCATTAAATTACAATGTCAACAGGGAAATAGCACTTTCTAACCTGGACATTTGGAGTTTTTTATAAACTTTGTTTAGATTATTTCCTCAAGTATGAAATTAATTGCTCCTTAATCCCTAATAGTCGAAATGAATTTAAAATAGAACTCCAACTAAGAAAAAATAAAAAAAGAAGTCAAGAAGTGAAATTACCTCTAACCTGTAATTCCGCTAGGAAGAAATCAAGAAGTGAAATTACTGCTAGGAAGAAATCAGGAAGTGAAATTACCTCTGCAATTTGAAACCTAATTAACCTTCATTCGAAGAATAACCTATGGACACCAATGTGGTTGTTTTCGTTCACTTTCTTCCCCAATCTAATTAAGCGGAATACGAATCTATATTAGGTATGGAATCCCGCTATTAATCAACTCACGATTCATAATCAAAGAATTGACCGAAAAAGTTAGGGAAATCGAGGCAAAGAATCTGAAATAGGGATGGAATTCCATGGCCCTGATATTGAATTGCGCGAATATATATGAATTGAATGAAAATCGCATATGTATTTTGTAAAACACCTGAATCTCGCATTGACGTCGAAGAATAAGCGGATCTTCACGGTTTGACGGTGTAGATTTCGGGATTGACGCGAAGAATCCGCAAACAATCAGCGGATTTTTGACTTTCCTTGCAGATTTGCTTTCAGTGGACGAAGATCTACGGCGGAGAATTTTTGCCGATGAAGAAACCTGAAATCGCACATCATGGGAGAATAGGCGACTGCGAAGGATGTTAGCGGTTTTGTCTCACAACTGTACGCGTGTGTAGTTAATGGGTGTTTCCCAATTGGTGAGGGTAATTTCCCCAACCAGTGGTATTCTGAAAAAGTTTATAACGGTAGAGCTTCGTAGAGCTTCTACCGTTCAAATTTTAATTTTTTATGTGTTGTTTTTTGAGCAATGCTATAACTACACATAAATTGATACAGAAATCCATTGATTTTGATTGAGAACCAGAGTACAAACCCAAATCAAGAATAAATAAAAAAAATTGATTTATGATGTGAACTTTTGAAATGATTTATTAAAATGTCTCAACTTTATTTTAGTTCTATTTAACACTTTTCTCAAAAAATATTGTCCTAGTTTGATTCTTTTTGCCTCTTTAAACTCAAATTAGATATAATGGTAAATAAAAAAAAGTTACAATAATTTGACGTATAAAAAATACATCTTAAAATATACCTACTTATACTCCCTCCGTCCCAAAATATAAGCAACACTCCACTATTTAAAAATCTCGGGAACTTTTATTTATTTTTGCATTTTCATTAATTATTTGATAGAATAAAATATTCTTGTCACCACATGTTTTGTAGAACTTTTGACGTAGTTTTTAAATATGTAAGTTTTATTTATCATTTGTAGACCATTCTTTAAATAAAATGGATTGAAAAAATTCAAAAAATTACTTCGTTTAGTGTAATGTTACTTATATTTTGGGACGGAGGGAGTATTAAATTTAAATAAAAATTATTATTCTTATTACATAATTGTGATCAAAATTATCAAAAAAATTCAATGATAATTGTGATCAAAATTATCTAAAAAGAACAAATAAAAAAAGTTAATTTTCGGTCCCCAACACAAAGCAAATTGAATATTTAAAATATTGGCCAAAGGTAGTAGTGAAGAGGACCAAGATTCTTCATTTGAAATTCCTGTTGCATAGCCTCGATGAAAGACGAGATAAGAGATGAGGCACTTGTCATCAACATAGAGAAGGACAATGAGGACGCCAGAAGGAGAATGCTTAACAAAGAAGCTTGTGTCGTGTTCATTTTTCCCAAAGCCATAATCAACAAGAAACCCTGACAGACGTTGGTACCAGGCCCTCGATGCCTGTTTGAGACCATAAAGAGATTTCCTCAGTTTGCACACATAATGAGGGTACTGCTGATCTACATACCCTGGAGGCTGCTTCATATAAATTTCATCTGAAATAACACCGTGAAGAAAAACATTGGAGACATCCAATTGATGAAGGGGCCAGTTGTGATTGACCGCTAGAGAAAGAACCACCCGAATAGTCTGCTGTTTGACCATAGGGCTGAAGGTCTCAGAGTAGTCCAACCCATATTCCTGTGTATAGCCCTTGGCCACAAGACGGGCCTTGTACCTGGAAATAGAACCATCAGAGTTATGCTTAATTTTATAAATCCACTTACGTCCAATAGGAACCCGATCTGAAGGTGCCCGAACAAGCTCCCATGTATGTTGATCAATCAGGACTTTGTACTCCTCATCCATAGCTTGACACCAACAACTGTTTTGTATGCTTAATTTTATAAATCCACTTACATCCAATAGGAACCCGATCTGAAGGTGCCGGAACAAGCTCCCATGCATGTTGATCAATCAGGGCTTTGTACTCCTCATCCATAGCTTGACACCAACTCCTGTTTCATGCGCTTATGGAAGACCGGATTCTTAGTCAGACAGATGGTGGACTGGTTGTCGCATAGAAGATGTGGAGGAGGGAGCTTGATTCGTAAAATGTCAAACAAATAGGTGAGCCACATTACCTCAGCTGCTGCGGCCGATAGAGCTTTGTACTCTGCTTCGCTGGACGTGCGTGAGACACGGCTTTGTTTCTCCGTACTCCAAGAGAGTAAATTCGAGCCAAAATATATCAAGTAACCTGTAACGGACCGTCCATCTGTCATATCGTTGGCCCAATCAGAATCAGAATATGCATAGATGGTTTGTGGGCCTCGCCGGAAGACCAAACCATGATCAATGGTTCTTTTGACATATCGTAGGATGCGTTTCAAGGACTGAAAATCCTGCTCAGTTCTTTTGACATATTTAGAGAAATGACTTAAGTTTTAATGCTATTTAGTGCAAATATATATATATATATATATATATATATATATATATATATATATATATATATATATATATATATATATATATATATATATATATATATATATATATATATATATATATATATATATATATATATATATATATATATCCATTGGTTCCATGACATTGGGAACCAATGTCAAGGCACTGGCGGATCCATACTTATGATATGGGGGGCATATGCCCCCAGTGAATAGTGAATTGTGAGTAGGTACATAGCAAGTAATGTAATTTTTAAAATATTAAAAAGAAATTGAATGGGTTTTGATTTATGCCCCCAGTCAAAATAATATATGCCCCCAATTCTATTTTTAAAATACCTAGCAGTAAGTCTCACGCAATCTTTATGACCAAGCCCAAGATTTTATTTCTTTATCTTTAAAATAATATATGGCCCAATCTTTGTTTAATTTATTTATTTTGTATTATGTATAGTTTTTATGATGTGTGTATAAATAATTATTATATGATTATTATGTGTGGAACAACTTAGAAAAAATAATACTATGTAAAATAGAATATGGGAGTGTAAATATTTAAAATAGAGAAACTATCCAGTTCGGTCTTCTTAAATTTTAGATACTAAATTTTGACTTTCTTATTTTTTTTTAATTATGTAAATAGATTTTTGAGATAAAATTAATTATTTGTTTGTCATTCACATGTAAAAAAATCGAAAGCACTTCGTTCTAGAGCTCCGTAGTGTTCCCGCTATTGATGCTTGAACGAGTTGAAATTGCCCCCAATGAATTTTTTCTTGGATCCACCACTGTGTCATGGGATGACCTGGGGGTCCTTCGATGATCCGTTCGTAAAATTGACGATTATGTTCCTACCTCCTAATTCTCCCGGTAAATCCTTCACTCAGCCCCGACCCGAACACACCCCCACTCCTTCAATGGCACCCCAAGTTAATTTTGAGTTACAATTAAGCCACAAAACCATTACAGCAATTTTTTTTTTGAATGCCATTACAGCAATTAATTAAGAAAAAATGAAGAATAAATTAATGACAAGATTGTCGTTACAAACTATGCAAAGGAAACTCCGGAGTGGAGTGTAATACCAAATGACAAGTAACTAAAAGTCAACGATATACAGATTAACCACCACAGGATCCATGAGACAGATCAGACAAGTCTTGGATTCGATTGATAGTATTCCTCTTCTTCTCCTTGTCCAATCTCCCCAGGCCAATCTGATGATCAAAGACTAAGAAGACAGTTGGAGATCGATCTGGGATTCCGACACTTAATTCTTTTATAGGAACACTTACACATTATGTCTGTATGTATGGTATTCATCATGATCAAAGAAAAAGAAAGAACAGAGAGAGCGTTGTGAAGCCCAAGCAAGAAATAGAGGCTGGGAATCGGGTGGAGCCAGACGGGGGAGGCGGCGGGTTGCGGAAATAATACGGGAAATAGGGGAGGATCGGGTTCGGAGGCGGTGGCGCCGGACCTGTGATGTAATTTGGTGGGGATGGGGGAGAATAACCGCTACCCCCGCCGCCACTAGGGGGAGAAAGACTTGGGTTGTCGGAGCCATAAGGAGGCGGGGGCGTCGGTAAGTTGTTGTAATTGTTGCCGCCGGGGCTAAGAGGCGGCGGCGGAGGAGACAGCTGCGGAGGAGAGAGCAGGGGAAGAGACGGCGGAGGAAGAGACGGCGGCGTAGGGAAGCTGCACTGACAAGCCCCCGTGGTGGTGGCAGCGGCGGCGGTGTCATCATTCGTCGCACTCACAAACGGCTCGCATAAGAATGACATCATTATCGCCACACACACCAAGGAACAAATCTTGATGACCTCCTCCTCCATTTTCATGAAACAATGAATTCCGGGAAGATCGATCAGATGATCGAGTTCCGAAACCCGATGGGATATAAAAACGAAGAACGATCGGAGAAATGGGAGAAGAAGTGAAGTGCCGGAGGGAGGGGGGGAGTGTTTTTTGGTGGGTGGGGAGAGGGAGGAAGGGAGGGAAGTGATGGAGGAGACTAGGGGTGGGTGTGGGGTCTCTTGTAGATGAAGTTGGCTACAACACACCAAAGTGAAAGGGGAAGGACAAAATGTTCAAAAGGGCCGCCGACACGTTTTACTTTCTGTGGCACCGCGTGCCCTCGTTTACAAAAATAAAAAGGAAAGCCTATTATTTGTTCGAAAAAAAGTGCTGGATATTTGAAATAATTTGGAAAAATTAGAATAAATTAGAAGTATTGCAAGAAAGTATAAGAACTGCAGAAATGAGAAGAAAACTGAAAAAAAATAGAAGAACCTGAAAAAATTGAAATAAACTAGAAGAAATTTCAAAAAGTTATTTAAACAAATTAGAAGTATTGTATTAGGAAGTATAATTAAATTAGGATACTTCTTTCCTTTCCTACTAAGATTATTCTTTCCTTTCCTACTTGTACTTTGATTACTCTTGTATTCCCTATATATAGGGTCATATCTCTCAATATTCAATAAGACAAGTTATTATCAAATTGTATCATGGTATCGGAGCTAAGGCTCTCAAAAACCTAGCCTCTCTTTTTTCCGATCGCCGCCCACCATGGCAGCCCCGTCGAATCCTTTGGCGTCCTCATGGGTGGCCCGGAGGGTGTGCAAAGTGGCCAACCGCACAGGGCCCCTAAAATTTTAGGGCCCCATATATTTAAATTTGTTAATAATTTTAAAAGAAAAGTATTCTAAAAAAATAAAATAGGGCCCAAAATGTAAATTTAGGACCGGGCCAATTTTATTTTTTCAATTTTCGGGGCCGGCCCTGGGCGTCCTTACCCTCCGGAGTAAAACTTTTGCTTCGGAGTCTCCACAACTTAATCCCAGAAAAACTCACCGAAACAATGAAGCAGCCCCGGCGCCAACTATCTCCAAAAACGATAAAATCGTCCCTAATCCAGAGTATACCTCCTGGACCATCGTTGACACACAGATCCGCGCCTGCCTCCTAGCGGTCATCAGCCCCTCCGTTCACAAACATGCTCGCGGCTTCACCACATCTGCTGCCCTCTGGGATGCTTTGGCCGCACGGTACAACTCTGTGTCCACCGCTCATGTTTATCAGCTTCGGGACAAACTCCACACTCTTCGTAAAGGTACCAAAACTATGACACAATACCTTGATGATGTGGCAACTATTCTCTCGGATCTCGATGCCTTGAAAGNGGATGGCTGATCTCCGAAGAAATAAACCTGGAGATGGAGAATAAACTCAGCCTCACCGAGTCTACCATCACCGAACCTCGCACAACACTTCTCGCTACGAACAGTCGAGGTCGCGGTAGAGGAGGCTATCGCGGTCGACCGTCACCTGGACGTGGATACAACAGCGGACGTGGAGAAAGGAACAACGGTCGACCGTCCCAGGGAAACGGTCGACCGTCACGGGATCTGCCAACCTGCCAAATCTGCGAGAAACGAGGTCACTCTGCGTCTGCGTGCTGGTATCGATTTGATGATTCTTATACTGCGAACTCCTCCTCTAGTATTCCCCGTGCAATGCATGCATCTACGAGTAATCATTCTGGAAACTGGTATCTGGACACTGGTGCCAACACCCATGGACGATCTCCAAGCCCAAACATCTTGGATGCAATTTCAACAACCCCAACCCTATTTTCTCCAAGTCCGGTCGGCGTTATTGCTTCTTGAACGTCAACGCTCACACTCGATCAAGACCGGGACAGCCCTCACCGCAGGCCGAATCGGCGGCCAGCCGCGTCCAAACCAGCAGCAGCAGCTGCATGGCCGAACCAGCGGCACGGCAGAACCGGCGGGCAACCGTGGCTACCCTGGTCGTGGTGGTGGCGGTCGTGGTGGTCACGGGCGAGGACGTGGGAGAGGCCGAAACTCTGGCGGGCAGCGACACTCGGAAGGCTACGGATCCTGGAACTCACCGAAGCAAAACCCTAACCCTACCCCGGGTCTTCTCGGCCCTCGCCCCACCCCCTACACCTACCCTAATGCCTTTGCCCATTATTCCTACTCCAACCTACCCCAACCCCACCCCACCCTCCCCACTCCAGCCCCATATTATCCCTACCCGACAGGCACCCCTGCCCCGGCACCCTACCCCTCCCCCATCACCCACCCGCAGGCACCCCCTCCTACCCCACAGCCCTAGCACACAACTTCGACACCATGTCCTTGCGGGAACCCACATGGCTTATGGACACCGGGGCATCTCACCATATTGCATCCGACCCAGGTACTATTTCTCATGTCTCTTCTCATTCATTACATTCACTTATTTATATCACTGTTGGTAACGGATCTAAAGTTAGCACTACGGCTGTTGGTCACCATTTTTTCCCCACTAACCTCCCTTTATCCCTTAAAAATGTCCTTATCTCCCCCCATATCATACACAACCTTATATCTGTCCGTAAATTTACCCGTGACAATGACTGCTCTATTGAATTTGATGCTCATGGTTTTTCTATGAAGGACCGTCGGACGGGAACCGTGATACATCGATCCAATAATGTCGACCCACTCTATCCCTGCGCCCCACTGCACCAGCCCAAGCACTCAGCGCGTCCATTGACATTCAAACTTGGCACCGACACCTGGGTCATCCTAGTCCAGCAGTCCTCTATGGAGTCTCGAGTCTTTCTAATTTATTTAAATTTTCAAATCAAAGTCTTTGTCATGCATGTCAACTGGGAAAACATGTTCGTCTCCCATTTTATCAGTCCTGTCGTGTCTCTACTTTTCCATTTGAATTATTACATACAGATTTATGGCAATCTTTCGTTCCAACTGTTACTGGTTTTAAGCATTACATGTTATTGTTGGATGATTACTCGCATTATTTATGGGTTTTTCCTTTAAAACAAAAATCTGATGCCTTTAATCATCTTAATTTTTTCATTAAATATGTTCAAAACCATTTTAACACTACTATTAAATCTGTTCAATATGACAACGACACGGAATACCGCAACTCCCCCCTCCAAAATATTTTTGCCTCCTTGGGTATCTTATTCTGCTTCTCGTGTCCCCACACTAGCCAGCAAAATGGCCTGGATGAGCGCACTATTCGCACCATAATAACACCGTTCGCACCCTGTTATTTCAAGCCCACCTCCCACTCGAATTTTGAGTTGAAGCCCTGCACATGGCAGCCCACCTATTTAACCTCCTCCCAACCACCACTCTCCACAATCAAACACCATACACCCTCCTCTTTAAACATCCACCCACTTACTCCCACCTTCGTGTATTCAGCTGCCTATGCTACCTAAACACCACCGCCACCACCGCACACAAACTAGCCCCACGCTTGGCTCGGTGCATTTTCCTTGGCTACCCCACAAACCAACGCAGATTCCGTTGTCTCGATCTCCAAACAAACAAAATCATTGTCTCCCGTCATGTTGTGTTCGATGAGTCGCCATTCCCTTTTTCCCAAGCTTCCAATCCCGATGATCTTAATTTCCTCGAAACCACGGAGGACGACCTACCCCACCCCGACACCCTACCCGCCCCACTGCCACCC